ATACATATCTACTACTCTACTTTACCAGTATTATTTTTAATTGTGAGTGACGTAAAAGACTTGAATTCTTTATATTTTTACCTCCCTAAGACATTTCTTATAAATGCTGTTTCTCAATGTTTAACTCGACAATACTTATCGCGTCTTCGACAAGCATCTGAGGATGTCAGAGATCGAACGATATTCTCATTAAATTCATACCGAGAGAGCTTAATTGTCGGACGAGACAACTTTTTTCTGAACGAAGATTTGTCCATGAAAAACGGAGTTCCTTCGATAAAAATAAAAATCTTAGGCAATAAGGGCACCTTGAGTTACAGTAGAAAATATTCCTCTTCAAAACAGAATAACTTTTTTAATGTCCCTCCATACGATTTGAATTATTTAAAAATATTAGATGATGTATAAAACGAATATGAAAAAAATCACAATTTATCGAAATGAGAAGCAAAAAACTAAAAGGTATTCTGTTTTAAAGATTCTACGTTCACTGCATGTTGCCTTGTCAACTTTGTGGTGGAATCCAGGCATGTAGGTGGTGCGGACCGTGAAGTCATTATACTTGACACGACGAGCTTCGCACAATTTCACGTTGCGTTTTATCCAACCCTTTCGTGAAACGAGGGAACAAGTGAGAGTCAAGTGTCATGGTTCTGAAGAATGTTACCCGGTGCAACCGATTATACAGGGAGTGTCCATGCGAGTTTCACTTTTGTACAAATACATATATTTTGCATTTTGCAGCAATGACAGAATTTTGTAATTTTGTATAATTCTTAACATATTATTTAAGAATATTTTAAAGTTGAAGTATTGTCAATTTCGAGCATATTATTTAAGATACATAATACAAAGTATGCAAAAGTAAGAATTGTAGGACATGTAGATAATGTGCACAGTTGCAAGTCATGTACAGTCCAATAAAAAAATGCCAAAACTGTGTATTAGAATATTAGAAATAATGCGTTGAAAGTTCATTATAACTGAGAAAAACAAGTCGAACAATTTTATAAACCTTACTCCTCTGTAATAATTATTTTTTCTAAAAGTTCATTACTACAAATATTGGGCACAGCTTTCTTAAAATTTTGGCAGAGATCTTACGGCTCATACAACCTTAATCACATCCCTTTTTTAATTACGTTTTAAATCTTCTTTTTTAAAAATGCGTGCAATCAATAAAATGTCTAAAAGTGTAAATCGGGGTACTTTCTTCGTTGTTTGATTCACTTTATCGTTTAAGATCGTTCGATTGGTCAAAGTAGGATTCGAGGTCGGGACAAAGAACGATTTTGAATGGATCGATCGTCGGTAAATACCGTATCAGGGTTCTTATTGTTTCCGGAATAATGTCACGTGTCTATTTCGATTCTCTCGCGGCTGCTCCGAGGACGGAGTCGACGAGAGATCAACAGTTATCGCGCAACCCCTTTCCAACGCCGTTCACCCTCTTTTTCCTGAGACACACCCTCTCAACTTCGTCACCGCGTGTACCTGCCTTGGGCGGCCTTTGTGCATTAAGCCTTTTGAACCCGATAATCCATAGAGATTGCAGCTCAACGGTTCGTGGTCTTTCGCCTTTTTATTTTCTTTTTGTTTCAACTTCCCCTCTACTGGAAACATAACCATTCACGAGAGGGGCGAACAGTACTTGTCAACAAGTACACTGTCCGAAATTTTCATAATGTCACCTTCATTTTCACATACATTTTAAATGTACAAATTTCCAAAGAAGACCTAAAAAATTTTAAAAATACACGTAACTGCCTAACTACTAGTTTGCATGTACGTCACTGTACATATAATTTCCTCTGGCAGGAGCATTTCATCGATTAAGTGTGACCGACAACTGTGTACGGACAGAATTAATCCTGAATCACCGAGATCATTTGATCAATTAAACGCCAATTACTCATTGCACCCTCGGACACCTTTCAATTCGGCTCTCCTACGGTACAATATTGTAATTCCGCTTTGTTTCTCATCAAAAACATATTAGTACCAGACTTTATTTTCCAATTACCGTAAAGAGAATATACGTTCTTCTTTATAAAATTTATTTAATACAATTTTTGAGAAAATATTTAATTTATAAAAATATGTATTGTAAAGAGTAATGAACGAAATATCTTTTATCTATTTAGAGGGAATTTATTATACCGGGTGGTCCAATAAGCACCTAGATTGTCTCCGAAAGTAGATTTAGGAAACATGTTACTAAACTGAAGTTACTCTGCATAAAGGGGAGGGCACCTTACAGTAACAATAACTTTTTTATAGGTGGAGGCGCCTCGGAGATATCAAGGTCACTTCCGCTTGTTTTAAGGTAAGACCCTAATATTTATTTATTTTTCCCATAGCTTATCTCAAATACTTTGCGAAACATTA